GCCGCCGCCGCGCGTCGGCCGCGGCAATGCTGGACGGAGCGTCGCGCAGCGCTAGCGCCGTCGCCATCAGGTGGTGACCCGTCGGGGCCGGCTCTTGCGTCGGCTCGGGGAGGCCCCAGGTCTCGTGCAGGCCCGGGTCGAGGTCGGCGAGGCGGAAGTGGTCTTTGCAGCAGTGCTCCATGCTGCGCGGGAAAGGAAAGCATTAGCGGGCTACGAAAAAAAGAGAAAAAAAAAAAAAAAAGGGAGGGGTATGTTTGTTAGCTTACGCGAGGATGAAATTGATGGCCTGCTGCGTCTGCGCTGCGCCGAGTCGCCCGCACCCCGGCACGTCCTCGCCCTCCTCGTCCTCGTCATCCACGCCGCCGTTGCCCACGCCCTGCCCGCACGCGGCAGCAAGCGGTGACGACGACGGGGCCTGGCTGACCCGCCACGCCTGCGCGCCCATGGCCTCATCCATGGCGAGCGAGACGACTAGGTCGTCGACGTCCATGTCGGCAAAGTGCGAGACGGGCTGGCTGCTGCTGCCGCCGCCGCCGCCGCCGCCGCCGCCGCAAGAGGGCGACACCATGCCCACCTCCTGCTGCTGCTGCGGGGGTAGGATGGAGGCGGCGGCCGCCATCAGCAGCGCCCTAGCGGCCTCGTTCTCGGCCCTGAGCAGGGCGCGCTCGGCGTCGAGGTCGGCGATCATGTTGCGGCGGTCCGCCACCTCGGTCTCGAGCTGCTTGGTGTAGTCGGCCTTGCGCTTGCGGTGCTGCACCTGCGCCCGCCGGACCTGCGCCCGCCGCGCCTGAGCCTGCCGCCTAGCCCCAAGGGCTGAGGATGCGTCTTCTTCTGCCAGCTGCTGCTGTCTCGTCACTGCCCTGGGTGGCTTAGCGTCCCGTGACATGTGTTTTCGGCACGATGGGTGTGTGTGTGTGTGTGTGTGTGTGTGTGTGTGTGTGGTGAGAAGGCGGTTTGTAGAACGAGAGGGCAGTTCTAGCCATGCCAGAGCGAGAAAGAAGCGAGGGGCAGAAGAGAAAAGAAGAAATAAAAAGAGGGCAGTTTTTGGAGTGTAGAGCATAAGGACGAGGTATGGTGATATGGAAAGCAAACGGGGGAGCCAAGGGAGGGCCAAGGGTAGGTGCACTATCCGGCCAAAACATCGAGGTTCGATGATTCCAAGGAGTGCTTCTGCCGCACCAATCCGATGAAACAAACGACAAAGAAAAGCAAAAACAAAGCCTCCCCCCAAAAAAAGCAAGATCCCGACTTACACCCAACGTTGCCTGCCGGGTCGCCTCCACCGCCAACACCAGCAGACCCGTCCTCGGCGCTCCCGACGACGGCCTTGGCGCCCCTCCTGCCGGGGACGAACTTGAGGCTCCTGCCGACATCCTTGCACTGCCTCAGAAAGGCCTTGAAGGACGGGCGCTTCTCGTCATCGTGGTCGTCGTCGTGGCTGCCGTGCCGCTGCTGCTGCCCCGGCGACTCAGACATGGCTTGCGAGTCCGAGGGAGGTGTTGAGCACGACGGGTTACTCGATGGCGGGTCCAAGTGTGGCAGGCAGCACCAGTGGTTGGTCATGTGGCGGCGCGAGTGGGCGCCGTTTCGTGTTTTCCGGGTGGGTGTCGGGTGCGCAGAGATTATAGGCCCAGCAGCGCATGGACAGGTAGATGGCCGTCGACTTGATTCCAAACCTCAGGCTTGGCTGCTAGGCGAGATTTGGCATCGAACGAGGCGCCGATTTGGGAACGTCTGGGGCGCAACACATCACGTGTCCCCAACGCATGCAGCCGTGTTACATCTCAGCTCACGCATCCACACGTGGTGCTGAGCCAAGCTGGAATCAACAGGAGCTGTATTTGATCCATCTGCTCTACCGGCCTGGGCCATACCTATCCACCCACATGCTTTTGTTTGACTGTCTGTCACGTGTCTGTAATTGAGTAGAAACAAAGAGAGAGAAAAGTGCAAAAGATCCACGAGACAAATCCGAGTTGACGATGGATATGTATTGCGCCGACGATGCTAGACGACCAGTCAGGGTCAAGGAGAAAAAAAAAAGAAAAAAAAAAGAGATGAAGAAGAAAGCCATAAAAACGCCGCCTCCTCGTAATATGCATTGCCTATCCCTTGGGGTATTTCCGACACAAGAATAAAAAAGAAAGTGAGAGAGAAAAGAGGGAAGCAGAAAACGAAAATAGCCCTGGTCCGTGTTCAGTCGTCGTCATTCTCATCGTCTGTCGCTGTACGCTCTTCTTCGTATTCCTCGCCGTTCTCCGCGTTGTCCTCTTCGACGTCGGATATGCCGTTGCCATCCAGATCCTCGTCTCTCTCGAGGGGGTCCGTCAGCGTATTCCACTTGACATAATCTTCGTTGATCCACCGCTTGCTGATGGGAAGCTGGTAGGGATCAAACGGGAAGTATGCTTCCAGCTGAAGCGCCTTCTCGTCGTAGGGGTCGCTGCAAGTGTCTCGGAGGGCGCCGCCCGTCGAGTAGTCGCCCGAGACAAACTGCGAGAGGTGCACGCGCTTGTTGCTCTCCAGCAGCGGGTACACATACATGAACTTGAGGTGCCGCGCAAGGTCGGCAAACTCGTTCACGATGGCTGGCGAGCACACCTTGAGTGGGTTGAAGCGGCTGTGAATCATCCGGCTCATCGACTCCCTGAAGCCAGGTATCCACTCCAGGTCGTGCCCGAGATACGACGAAAGGTCCTCTTGATCCACGATGTCGGGCGCCCACGTCACGAGCTCCCTCCATCTGAAGCAGAAGATGTACAGGAGCGCCTGCACCAGACTGTATAGGTGCTTATAGCGTCGCAGGTCCGGGCCGCGGCATCCCTCCATGTGGCTCCTCATCTGGCCGTCAATGTGGTGGCACAAGAGGTTGACCACATTCTGTACAATATCGGCCGGCACTAGACCTCCCCGAGCGACGTAGCTGGCTAGGTATGCCGTGGCCGACTGTCGAAGCGCCATGGGTCGGTTCGACTCGAATGCGAGATTGAATAGCGTGCCGACGAACAGGTCCATCAGCTCCGGGGCGTATTGGCTGAAGTGGAAGACGAGAAATTGAGTGTGCCGCGACTTGTACGTTGGCAGGATGAGGTTGACAAAGTCGGATATCATGTCTGCCAGACACTCCTTGGCTTCGTCCGATGTGGGCTGCATGAATTTCGGCTTGTACAGCTCGAAGAGAGTGTCCATGACGGCGTCCAGCTTCTGGATGGTCGTGGCCCCGGATTCTATCCTGTTGGCCTCGGCATCAAAGTCGCTGTCGTCGCTGGCAATGGACTCGGTGTCGCTATCGTCCGAGTCTGCTGGGTCCAGCGCGTCGCTCGTCTTGGCAGAGTCGAGCTGGAGCACTATGGCTGCCGTCACGTCATCGTCCATGTCCTCGAGGTCAAACTGGACCTGCACGTCGATCTTGACAAGACGGTCGATGATCAGCTCCATGATATCCTGGCCGAGATCTGGCGCATACCGCCTCAGCCGGAGGAGGTTATTGACAAAGGACGTGTGTGCCCGCTTCGATTCTTCCAGGTAGGGGAAGTGCTTGGCCAGCAGGTTACACAGCACAGCCCGGGCGGCCGGGAACAGCCTTAGGATGTATGCGAGCGCGCCATGGAGTCGGTCGTACGCTAGCTCGACGCCGACCTTTGGAAAGTCGGGTACGCTCCAGGCCGACTCGCGATAGTCCTTAAACTTCTCCGTGGTCATGGAAAGAACCATCTCCAGCGTCGTCCCCTGGGCGCTGATCAGTCCAGCCAGAAACTGCGTGTACGCCTTGCAGAAGGCGTCGTCTCTGCCGAGCCATGAGCATCGCATCACGCTCTTGACGAGGTCGGAGCAGGACTTGTCCAGCAGTGGCGTGCAGGTGGAGAGCGCGACAACGTAGACGATGAGCTCTTGCGGCTTTAGGCAGTCCTCCTCCTCCCCCACTATCGGAGCGACGTATCGCTGTCTGTCGTTCTGGAAGACTGACTTGAGCCCTTCGTAGCCCTCCGTGTCGCCACGGCTGCGGTCCTCGAGGGCCCTCCGGACCTCGCGCTTGGTCTCCTCGAGCGTTCTGGTTTGGATGTCCACCGTCATGTTGGCCGCTAAGTCGAAGGCGACACGTTTGAGTCGCTTCGTCGGGCTGCTGTCGGGGCTATCTCCAGAGTCGGCGCCCCGTTTCCTCTTGGCGGCAAGCACCGGCTGCTGCGTCCGCAGGATCGGCTTCTTGCTGAGAGCAGAGTGTTGCGACGGCGCTGGAGAGGGGTAGGAAGACCCCGACGGGGTTGTGCGAGAGGCGGAGGTCGTCATGGTGGAAGTTGGCTGAAAGGATATGGGCGATTCGCCGCCTTGCGATGAGTATGGTTTTGGGCGTGAGACGGCGCGGCTGCCTGGTGGCTCTAGGATAGGCTGTGGAACCGAGGCCAGAGGGAAAACGCGCGCGAGTCTAGGCTAAACATAGTATGACGGCGTATGTGTTCGCAAGCAGTTCTGCGAATCCTGGTCCAGGTTGATTAACGTAGAGGCGGGAGCACCGAGGAGGCGGTGATTTTGGCTGGTTGGGGGTGTCGCCTCAATTGAATATCAAGATCAAAATATTGTGAGTGTTGGAGCCACTCTGGGGAGAGGGGTCATGGCGTCCGCGCGCTCAGAAATTTTGGTCTGATGGGTCCATGAATTTTATGGGCTTTTGTGGGGAAGTGGAGTCGCGCACGCGAGCAAGCCAGCGCCTGGTTGAAGGCATCGTCATCCATTGTCCTGATTTTTTACAAAGCCAACCTACCTATACGCTCGCGAGCGCAAGGAAACGGGAGAAACAGCAAAGGAGAATAATTATAAGAATTGGAAGAAAGCCCAAGCAAAGAAGAAAGAAGGCGACCTAAAATGCAAGAACATGTTTGAGGACCACCAAAGTTAACTCCGTTGGCGAGCAAGCGGCTTTCAATTTCTGAATGCCCAGACCTCGGAGCCCGTTGTCTGCCATTCCCCTCTGTCGAAATCCAACGAGTACTGTAAAATTGAGTGCATGTCGCTCAAGAGCGCTCCCAAGCAAAACACGACGAAGCACGGGAAACGCCTCTCGGGGGAAACTCTACCGAATACCAGTGTTAAAGCAAGGAAAAGCAAAGATCAAAGCCAACCAAAACCCATGGGCTCTACCAGCGCCCCAGCATTTCCCAAATCATGTACACATAAAAAAACAGTGCAGAAAAGTATTCTCGAACCGATACTTTGGCAGACAGGCAAGCAGACTCGGTAGACCCTAATTTCCCCCTCGGGTCAATCCGAATGCTCAGCATGGTGGAAAGGTCTGATGAGGGTAGTGTGCCGATCGGCTGCCTGGGGACCGAGACGGCCGGCACCGCCACGCAGGACCAGGTGCGACGGCTTCCTTTCGTGTCTGTCCGCGAGCCCGTGCTCAGTACTCGCTCGGGGCGGCGCCGTTGTGCCCGCCCTGGGCGCTGTACAGGTAGCTTGCGGCGTCGCCGGTGCCGTCTCCTTGCTGCTGAACAAGCTCGCCGCCGGGGAAGCCCGATGAACCTGGGTTCGTCCCAGACGCGGACCCAGGAGGAGCACCGTAGCCTTGGCTGCTCGGGCGGTTTTGCTGGCCGTCGCCGCGGGTGGACTGGGACTGCTAGAGCACTAGTCAGAGGACAAGAGCATGGAAGAAGGCAAAGGAGTGAGACAGAACAAAGAAAAGGTAGTCGGTAATGGGAGGATGGAAACCACGTACCTCGCGGTATTTTGCGAGATATATCTTAAGCGCCTCTGCGTAGTTCTCGAAGCCGAGCGAAGTCATGGCGAACAGAATGTCCTCGCCATTGACTGTCTTTCGCTTCTCCTGATGACACTTCTCCGATGCTGTGATAGGTCAGCATTCATGCAAGGCGCAAACGCGCTTACAGCGCCTCTTCACGGCTCAGGCATGGCGCGGCTGTTTGTTGTTGATCGCAGATGCCGGATGGACAAAGCAACAAAAAGACAAGAAAAACGTCGGCGAAACTCACCCTCGCTGGTGATGAAGGAGATGAACTCGCTCACACACTCCTGCATGCACTCCTTGGCCTCCTTTGCGATCTTGGCGTTGTCGGGCAGTGCATTCTTCATGATGCGGGCCACTGGTGCAAAGTTTCGTATGTTAGCATCATAGGAGTCATGTTGTTGCTTGCCGTCCTTGGAAGTCGAACCGCGAGGCGCTTCGGGCGACCTGGAGGATGAAGAGTCGCGGGACATGGAGAAAAGGGGGACCAGCAGATAAGACACTGCAGACGCGGGTGTCGATACAGGCCAACAGCCAGGGGCACGTGTGTGCGAATTAGGCAGGGCGAGCAGCAGAGGCAAAGGCGGTAGCAGTCGGTCAACCAGTCAACGCAGCCAGGGGCAGACCGGTGCCGTCCCATACGGGTCGAAGCAGAGTGGACGATATGGCGCGCTGCGCGTGTGCGTGCGAATCACGGCCCAGGGGGTCCGAACGCAGGGACGAAGAGGAAAGGAGAAGGGGGAGAAGGGATGCAGAGGGATTCACCTACCATTGGCTATTGGCAGCCATCGGTCTTGCTCCTTGACCTCGAACTGCTCATAGGAGAGCGCGCCTCCCTGTGGATCCTGAGAATCGTTCATTGGTGCTTCCTCGTCGGGTGATTGTACACCCTCGACGTCCTTTGGATTGGATTGGGGGGAGTCCGACATCTTTGGCTACCTGCAGGCGGGTGCGGGCTTCTTGTAAATTCCTTGGACTGCGAGCTCGTACAGCCTGTTGGAGGTAAGGTGCCCTTACACGTTGCAGGGTTGCAAGCCTCGTAGACTATTCCGGTGTCCTGGGGGCAGGGGGCTTGGCCTGCAATGCTGCGTCAGTCATGCTTCGCGTGTTCCAGGCGACGGGGGTTTCTTTTTTCTCTCTTTTTCTTTCTTTTTTTCTTTCTTTGACGGCTACCACATCATAGCCCGACTACCAGGCAGTGACGGAAGTAGGGGCCTTGACGTGGTCGCAATGTGGGCTGGACGGAGCAGCTGGAGGGGCGTGGGCGGATACGCCGGCCTGCGCTGTCCCAGGTGCTTAAGTTCCTGATGTTTGCAGCGGGTCCCCACACTCCGCTCTGGGAGGCGTGTGTCTAGGAGGTCGCTTGGCCTCCCGGGGAGCGGCGTCGCCAGTAGGGAGTTCGGGGCCAGGACGACTTGCTTGCAGGCAGTCGGTCGTTTCGTCTCGCCCGCCCGCCCGTTCCCGCCAGACCCCTCTGGCGTCGTTCGTTGCTGACACCCCCTCACACCCTTAGCAACAAGGGCGGTACAGTCGGAGACAGTTGGCCAGGTACTCGCCGATGCCGTCAGGCGTTGGGCGAGCAGTCTGACCAGCACGCAGGTTTGCGAGAGAAAAAAACCACAAGCCGGGAGCCGTTCCGTAAAAGAGAGTGTGTGGAAGTGTGTGTGCGGCCAGCCACGGGGCCTCGCAGGTTACACTCATCCAAGAGCTTCAACATGGTTGGTTGCCTACCTACAGTCTTGGTCGCAAGGTAGCAAACAACCTTGGGCAACGTCTCTCTTTTCCCTGTCTCCCTTGTCTCCGGCGCTCCAATGGCGCAAGAAATAGCCGGCTGGACGGGGATTGGCTGGGATTTTCACCGACGAGTGCGCGTTGTGCGGCCCTGATCGAAGTTTTTGTTGCCTGTAGCGTCGAGTCAGAGGCGAGGAAGATAAAAGGCGATTAAGTATCCCGTTACGGGATAAAGCAAACCGGAATAAAATAAAAGCCAGCAGTAAGGAATATCGGGGGATGGGGGTGCGGGCAGACGAAGAAAAAAACGGCCAATGGGTGTGGTCGTGGCAGCCCAGCGGCCACACACAGCTCACGGGTCTCGGGCTGGTGGGTTTTTTCTTCATCTGCTTTTGGGGGGAGCTGTGCCTGAGACAGCAAGCAGGGTGGCAGGGCAGTACCTTGAGACCAGGCACGTGGTAGGATAGGTAGGGAGGGAGGTAGCCCGGTACGTAGCAGAGGGTACGTAGGTACGCATACGCATACCCAGCGAGCGGGAAACAACATGGAAAACAGGGCTGGCGATACAGGACCTGGAGAAGAGGGGCGAAGTAGCGAGCGCGTGGGCGCGCGCAGGCCGAGGCGCGGCGCATGGGAAAAAAAAAAAGCTCTGAGCTGGCGGGCCTCACTCACCTCGAGACTGAGTTATGACGACAGGAGCAGGAGGGCGGTCGTCGATGCTCGGGTTCGGCGCGTTGGATCAAACAGCTGCAAGCCCCATCGACAGCAGGAAGCGACAGGTGCATACAAAGTACACAGCGACGGCGTGGGGTGGTGCAGGTTGGGAGAGAATCAATGGGAGGGCGGCGCGGGAGTGAAGCGGGTCTGTTTTGCGGTCAAGGCCAAGTCTGGTGGTGATTGTAGCTCTGTGGGAGCTCGGCTCCCAGCACTCCCAGCAATCACGCACGGTGGAGCCCGGCACCCCCGCTCGCGCAGCTAATAAGGCAGCCATGGGCGAGCCATGGCCGCATCAGCGACCGACGAGCGAGCCATGGCTGATGGTTGATGCATCAGCCAGGCGCCTCCACGCGGGATGCCGTCGGCCATGATGGATGGCTCGTCGGCCAGCCGGCCCTGAGGTGCATTTGGCGTCGGCGGTTGCACTGGAGACGTGCGAAGAGACAGACGCACGCTGCCGGCCCTCTCTTCCCCACACTTCCTCGTCACCTGGCCCTCGCGTCCGGCCTGGATTTGACGCTGCCGTGCCCTGGAAGGAGATTGTTGACAGGTCGCCAGGAAAGCCTTTGGGCTCTCTATTCGCCTGTCAGTCAAATTAGGTTGGCGTGCCGACTCGCATGATCTGCCTTGGGAGCCCGTGTCAACCTGAGAAGGATGCATGTTCCCGTTGAAGAGCCAGCCAACCGAGACGCTCGAGGCCCAACCAGCGCGGCGGCCCTCTTCACACAATCTCGATCACGGCCCCGTCCCCGCGCCTGGCGCCGCGACCTGCCACTTACGTACCTACCTAGGCAGGCAGGCAGACAGGCAGGCAGGCAGGCAGGCAGGTAGTATCTAGCTAAGTTTCTATGCATTTGAACAAGTAGGGATCCAGGGATCAAGTCCTGATCTCACTCCGGCCGCAGTAGCGGTCAGACAATCCATGACGGAGGATGCCTTGGAGGGACACCCCTCCCCAAACAGAGCGGTCTACGGTCAGTGTGGGCAGGCCAGGAAACCAGAGCTTCTGGGCCACGCTGCGGCTAACTGCATGTTGGGTATCGACTCCATTCTTGTCGGCCGCTTGTACAAGCAAGGGTACTCTGCAAGTATCTGGCAGGTTTCCTTCTAGAATGCGCAAGTGGAAGTCCGCAGGCTGTCGTCGAGCAAGACGAGTCAGAGGCGTCTTGGGTACCGGCAGATGTACGCCCTATAGACGGTGAGCACGGGTGTTGATTTGTCAATTGAAGGCCAGACGAACGGCTCATGTCCATCGACAACGCACCTGTCAAGTGGCGTGTGTGGTCCGGTACGTACACGGGCGTGGGAGCGCGCGCGAGCCTAAAAGTTCAAGACAGGAGCGAGCAGGCAGCGCTTCGGGCATTTGTGTCGGCCATCACTGGTTGCCCAAGTGAGCCGTCCGTTGGTCCCAAACAAGGAGCTACTGCCCGTTTCCCCAGCCGGCCTAGTCACACCCGTCAGTCGCACGCAAGGCTGGATGTCCAGTCGGAAGAGCAGCAAGCTGTGTGGAGTGCGACCAAGACAAAATGACCAGCTTGAAATTCAACTGCCAGGGCCCAGGTCCCTCGCTCTGTTTTGCCCATTTCACCTGGCTGTGAGCCAATGACAAAATTACATGACGCTGGCGGTTTTCATTGGAAGATTTACCCTCGAATAGCCATCCTGTCCGCCCCCGTGGGTTTGATAAGGCAGGGAAGGAGGGTGGGGAGACGAATCACCACACCCCGAAAGCTGCGAGAGGACTGGGCCAAACGAATTCCAGGATTATTTCCCGATCTCCAGAAATGGAGTGAAACCCGCAGGATAACCAGATCAGGGCGCGTTGCCTGTGCATGAAAACGGGGTCGCATATGGCAGTGATTGCTCCAAGTCGGGCTCAGTGTGGGAGACCCCCCGTGGCCGGCCAGCCGACCTGCAGAGCCAAGGTCCTTCTCCGCCGGTGAATTTTGTCAAGAATTCCCATGCCAAAAATGAACATTGCAGCCAAGTTTCTCCATACCAAACTCCCCTTTTTGGGTATTGGCTATCATATGCGTCTTCGAAGCAAGGAGATGGCAACCTGGGATTCATCCATCTCAGTCTCGTGATGACGCCCCGGCCAGGACAGCTGGCCTCGCAATCCTGTCCATGGACGTGTTCGGGTATCTCGGTGCCAAACTTTTGGGCCGGCAAACCCCTTTACAGCCACAACACGGGATCTTGAGGCCCACGATGCAGGGCCAAGTAAGACTCAAGTCCCTAACGTCATATTAGCCAATACCACCCCTTCACTTCTACCGCTTCCCCACACCCCCAACTCTTCCCGACCCTGAGTATTGACATGTTTTTTTTTTCACTCTTCCATTTCCCTTGTCCATGACTTATGTCTGCAGTTACTACCAGATCCAGTAATAAAAATCCCCGAATACAAAAAGGGATGTAGAGAGACCACTTTGGTTCTTGCTGTCCTATCAGAGCCCAACGGCCTCCAAAGACGGCTATGGAGCCAAACTGCCGGTTGGGCATCGAGACGCCCTTGCCGCCGAGGGACGCTGCGTCACTCCACCACACCAGTGAGTTTTTTTTTTTTGTACAGCTCACACCCACCACCATGTTGGCTCACTTTAGCTAGCATCGCAAACAGGTGCAGCATGCTGAAACCTGCCATTCGTCAGCTTAAAGGGGCACTATGTGGCCGTTTTCTGCAGTCTCGGTACCGCCGCCTGGCTCATCCCTTTGCCATAACCTGTGAGCTGGCATTCGAGGCTCATCCCCAGATCTAACCCATCATGGGAGTGTGCTTTAGGGCGTCAGGACAAACACGCCGATACCCCTTTCCTATGCGCAGGCTTTGTGTCTCGTATTGTCCTCTGCTTCCCATCACTGCATGTCTGCCGGCCGTTCCAGCCTAAGACTGCACAACCTGAACATTATTTCGCTTCTGTGACGTAGATTTCTGTCAGTGACACGTACTCAAATCCTGCGATGCATGATGGCGTATCGGGGCTAGGCACCTTCCACTTCTCAAAATCATCCTCCTTTGTCTTGTACTGCTTTACCAGATCCTCCAGGACCTTGCGCAGGCCCTCGGCATTTGTCTTGAGAGCGGGCACGACATCCTTGACGGTCCTCTCAACAAGCACGCCATTGATGAGGCGGAAGCACTTCCGGTCTCCTGGAAGGGGCTCCAACGTCTCCAGAACAAGTCTATCGTGTCGAGTTAGCAAGATGGGCGGTGAGGAGGACTTTGTTTGTTTGTTTGTTTGTTTGTTTTATTTTTTGGCAGAGCGGTGAGCTGGCCATGGAGGCTTGTAGTATTGGGAACCTGGACAGCCCCAATGCATGGTGCGCAGGCGCCGCTTCCCTCTCCGTGTCAAGAAGGAAAAATCAGAAGATGCTCGCGCCGTGACTTACTTGTGTTCCTCTGCCTCCTGCTCAACGTCACCGATTTTCCTAGCCACCTGTTGGAGGGTGTCCTTGTAGTTGGTGTATTGCGTCTGCAATTCTGGGGTGAGAGAGGGATGGCTTAGCACCTTGACGAACCCCTCTTCGCGATTGATTCGATTCCTTGGCACGCGTACCTTGCTGCTTTTTGACTGAGACCTGTTGGGCCGCCATGTTGGGCGGGTAGTTGCTGAGGGAGCCTTGCGTCGAAGCCCTGCTTGACTATAAGCTGTGCCGGCAGATTGTGGAAGGTTAACGACTTTGCCCGCAAGGCGCTGGCTCAGGTGTAATTATCGACGGCACCAACCTCTGGGCTTGGTGGGCTGTCAGGACTGCCCAGATCAAGTGGGGCTGCCCGCCGCAAATGGCACACGCCGAGGTGGTGAGGTATCGGATCTTGGTGGGTCGCAAGGACTCTTTGCATCGGCATCGAGGTCGCGCCATTTGATCTGCTTCCAACCCCGTGTGGCAATACTTTGGCGCAAGAGCATCATCGGTGCAGAGGCAAGCCCTCACCATCGCCTTGACGCTCGATCCTTGGACCAAGCATACGCTGCCGGTAGCATACAGGTGAATATGCATCCGCATCTCCACACTCAAAGCAGTGCTGGTACGACGACCCTCCCCTTTCCTGACCCCCGCGTCCGCATGACGGAGCTTCTGGTCAAACTCGAGGCCGCGTCGCTGGGGGCCGGGCCGCCCGAATTGAGTCTCACACCTGCTAACCTTTATACGTTCTGTCTGTCTATAGGCTGCGAAGATGTTATTGCTGCGTTCGAGGAGTGTCATGCCCGTGGGTTCCTTTGGAAGTCGATGGGCATGTGCAACGGTGCAAAGGACGCGCTCTCCAAGTGTCTGAGGGCGGAAAGGGTAAAACGCCAGACCGAGAACCGCAGCGCTACCGGCGACAAGAAGGCGAGGATCAAGGCAGCATGGAAGGAAATCGACGAAAACTCATGACATCACGAACCGAATACGACAGCGAAAACACCCTGGGTCAATCACCGCTATCCCGAGATGCCCGTCGCAACACCTATCTACGTGAGACCCGCGGGCGTCCCGGCATTCGCATCATGGCGATGAACTTCATCTCAAGAAAAGTCGTCGCACTGCCCAGCCGTGTATTATAATTGTACACCATAAACACAAGGCGAAAGAAGCGGGCGTGGCTCTTGTACATGACGGACACTCCTCCATAAATCCTATGATCGCAGAGGATACCGGGCCCAACCACTAGCAGCGTCACGCCGACCTACATAGCCGTGATGCAGGTAGCATGATATCGAGGCTTGCCAAAGAGAGGACTGCCCTACGCTTTCTGGCGGAGAGCGTTGCCGAAGGTGATGGCTCCGAACGTCGAAAGGAGACTCAGCGCCATGGGCACAGGCTTCTTCAGGCGGATGGCGCGGGGGATAGAGGCGCCTCCGAGCACAACTGATGCGAGGAGCGCCAGCTCAACACCGTACGGCTGTCTGTTCTGGAGCCTGTACGCTCCAAGGCCATCTGAAGCAAGAATAGGAGCATCCAGGTTCAGTAAAGCGCCTTGCCGCAGAGGTGTTTGCGCGACTTACACAGAAGACCGACTGAGCAGCCCGCGATCATGGAGGGCAGTGATCCGCTCTTCACATAGCCCATCATCCCGCCAGAGGCGGTCAGGCCAGACAAGACATAGGCCACGACTTCAAGACCCTGTGTCCTCGGCAGTCTGTCAGTGACTGGGCTAAGATTTAGTCTGGGCCCGGACTGCCATTGACGAACCATTGTAGCTGGTTTATTGAGGAATATCTGCGCTTGATTCTTGCAACCTCGACTCTGGACCTGGATGGATTCGATTCAATCGGGGGCGTGAGACAACTTGAACACAAGGAGCTATCCTGCGGCTTTTTTTGCTTGGGCGGGAGCCTCGGACATGGAAATCTCCACTTGGCATCCGTGGGCACTGCTGGCTACAATGGCTGACTAATGGCAAAGGCTCGGCTGGCTGGCCCCCTTCGATGCCATCATCCAGGCTGGTACGATACTTTGATCCCGTCAATCGTTGAAGACAACCGTGCTCGCAATCAATCAACCCTGGAATTGGTTCCGCTAACTTTTATCAGATCTCATCAATACCTCGGCTCAACTGCCTATCTCCAACAAGTTTAACTGATCGAAGGGGGTACAGGGAGACAAGATCACATCGGCTCCTATACCACCGACGCAGTAGACTCAAATGCACACCTCATTGACATGGGCGAGGACATACTTACATCGCCTCATTCAAGAAATTGGGTCTGTCGTATATCGGGAGGATGCCGCTAGGTGGGACAAGCAGTAGCTTTGAGGCTGAGCTGTGACACCTCCAGCTCACAGCCACATGCACGGCCCACAGCGAGAAAGCCTTACCGACAAAATGCCACCCGCCTCTGAGCCGCACCGCGTATCCGGCCAGCCAGAGAGCCCTGGGCTGCGCACGGCGCCAAGGTTCGCCAGGGTTCGCCAGCGCAGAGTGCGCCTGTTGGTCTGCCCACCGCTCGCCCAGCCCTGCGGGAGCAATCGGTCCCCACCCTCCACCATCTCACGCAATCAATGAGATGGCTGCTTCCCTGCCGGCGCCACCCCGTGTCGTTTACCTACGCCGGCGGATGGAGGAACCAGAAGTTTCTGCCACAGGAACCTGGCATCGAAGACAGGTGGCTTCGAGATTATTCCCTCAATGTTGTGACGGGTGGGAAATGGGATTTCTCGGGCCGTCGCCAGGCACAAGGCACAAGGCGCACTCACACAGATTGCAGGCGCTGGAGGAGTCAAGGCGGGGTGAGGACTGGCCCCGCTATCTGGGCTATTTGATGCTCACCCACCGCCTGTGCGCGCTTCCTTCCGGTTCGGCGCGTGCTCCCTATTGGGGATCCATGCCCTGGGGGCGCGGGGTGCTTGCTCTTTTTCAGGCCCAACCCGTTCTGGCACGAGCCCAGACATGTCGAGTGGCCTAGTAGATGTGCGGGGGGTTGTTTTGCTACTGCATCTGTCCACCTTGTCGAGCCATGACATGTATAATAACTAGGTGTGCACCGCCATCCAGCCTTCGAGATATGCCTACCTTGTTTGGGCAGCTGTGAACTCACGTTGTCCTAGGTCTTCCCCCAGGTCTCCAGGGCGCGAGCTTCATCACAAAGGAGACAAGAAGACGGCCCAGCACGCCCGGTGCCAACCAGGGCCAGGGCCGTGGCCGAACCGTGTGGGGACGATAGCAAAACGTCGCTCCCAGCCCAGCCCAGCGCGGCACCGCACCCGACGGCAGTGTTACATTCGCTCTCTTCGATTGCATGCGGCCCCGGTGACGCTGAGCCCTGCCACCTGCGCGCCACACTCCCTCACCCTCCTCCCCTCTCTCTCGCACCCTCGATGGGGCCAAAGCTGTGCGGTCTGGGTTGAGTTGCCGGTCGGCCGCACGTCGCTAAGCGCCGTCTCCAAGTCTGTTGGTCCGGGCAGCGCCTCGCCCCCAAATCATCCACCCTCCTTCGCTGCCGGCTCCGGCGGTGTTTTTGAGCAACAGCCTACCTCCTACCTAGCGCCCGTCCTTCCCAGCCCTTCCCGCAATCGCAACCCGATTCCTGATTCCTGATTCTCGACACTCGCGCGAGGTCCTTCATCTTCTCTGTTGCCGCGACATAACGGCTTGCTCTTTACGACTTATTCTTTCGTCCCGTCCACAAGCCCATCCGAGGCTAGCTCGAGCCAAATCTGGCCCGCAGAGTGGAACCAACACGCGCGCGTGCGCTCCGTTTCTCCCACTTCGCAGCTCAGCCCAGTCCCAGCAGCACACCTAGCGTCAGCCGCAGAGTCGGAAATCAAGCAGCGCTGCGGGCCCGAATTTTTGGGAGGATCCGCGCAAACCAACCGTCCCGTCTCCCTCACCCACCGCTTCGCCTGCTCTCGCGCCCGATAGCTGCCCGCCCAGGCGCAGAGCATGATCGCGACATAACTCGCAGCATCGGGTGCTTGGTCGCATCTCACACGCCCGCCACTCCGCACATCCCTATCCCTCCCCCCTCCTGTCCGATAATTAGCCTCGGCCGCCCAGACCCGCCCCGCCCGGAGCCATGTCTTCAACCTACATGGGCACTGTCTACCCGCCTGACTATTTCAACGGCAGCCGACCAGATCACACTCCCGGTCAACGGTCCGTCGCCGTCGCCGCCGCCGCCACCGCCCAAGAGCCGGCCGCTGTCCTGAGCCATCTTTCGCCCACGTCGGCGCAGTACACGAGCAGCGCAGCATCTCCCACCTTTCTAGCACAGAGTTCACCCGCCGAGTCCACCCCCGCGAGCCTGCAGTACCAGACGAGCGACTTCACCAGCGACGGCTTTAGCGACGAGTTCTTTGGTGTTGACTTCAGTACACTCGAGAACGGGACGCCGTCCTTCCTCGGTGAGGACGCCGGCGCCAGCGGCTCCCAGGGCCTGACCCTTGTTTCTGGCCCTCTCTCGTACCAGACGCCCGACCCCGCCAGCAGCAACCCCGATGGTGGCAGCCAGGGGTATCTGCTGAGCCCTGAGCAGACCCCGTCCCTGCACACCATCTCTCCCCCAAACAAGGAAAGTCGTGGTCACCAGGCAGCTCTGCCGAGCACGCGCTTGTTTGAGGCGCCCTCGACCGAAGACTTGCTGAAATCGGAGCAGAGCTCTCCGCACTCGCACTTCACGACTCCAGGCACAAGCGAAGACAGCCTTGTCGCTGGCGCGCCGGCGATGTCTGGACAGAGTCCCCGCGTCATGGTCTCCATGTACGATCAGGATGGCTACGTTCCCGTAGGGGACATGGCGCCACCAGAGTTCCTCCTGGACCCGACGTCTACGGGCTTCGCCCCGGACGACACGGTCAAGCCGTCCCCCGTGGTGTCGCGAGACACCACGGGGCGGTGGATGCCTGATTCCTCGACCGGCCAGGGCGGAATAGAACCGTCCGGACGCATCGCCGGGGAGACGGCCAGCGTGAATGACTTGGCCGCAACTCGCGTTGTTCAGGAGCGAAATATTGGGGTCCAGATTTGGCTCGATGGTAATGGTCGTGGCGGTGCAGAACCACCGCCATCCGCGAGCGAAAGTAATCTCAATGGAGTGTCGAGTCGTGAGATACCGCTCGGAAGCGAGACGGAAAATGTCGCGCAACCTGGCCGGATCTACTACGTCGAGGGTGGCTCCGGGCCCCTGACGCAGGAAGACGTCGACATCATGCGTCAGAACCGGAACTGGGAGGACGCCCCCGCTGTTTTTGCGATATCCTCTCCGGGAGATCAGCATTGCCAGCCCGGGACCTCGGCCGACGCAATGCGCAAGTTCGAGAAGATGTGCCGCGACAACGATTCGGTGGTTTCGAGGGCTGCCACGTGGGGCACCAGACGCCGGAGCTTGCCAATCGACGTAGACATGGAGGGTATTGTCAGCGGCAATTTCTTGAAGAAGCTATCCATTAGCCGCGGCGAGTTCTTCAAGGACCTGCGTACCTTGGTCCGCAGGCCTAGTGCCAGCAACCTGGCCAACCTCAAGCGTTCCCTCTCCAGCCCCAGCCAGGACGACGATCTCCGCCACTCCACAGATGGCTCGGGCGAGAGGCGCCAGAGCCGCGACAGCCTTGCGCCCCCGACCAAAAGTGGCGGCTGGACCACCAAGCGCCACCCGACACCCAGTATCAACACGGCTCTGGTGGGCATGGGGAGCAGTGTTGCGTCCATTGGCGCTACCCATGCTCGCAGCGGTTCCATCAGCTCGACAACCCCTGTTGTCACGCCAAAGAGCCCCTTCACGCTCAAGGTCAACATCGGTCGACGTAGGGCAAAGTCCGAGCTGGTCAAGCCTGGGATCGAAGGCTCTTTTTCCAACATCGCCGACATGTGGAAGAAGACAGGCGGGCCCCCGGTTGCTCTTGCGAAGGCTCCTGCACTTGTTGACCAGGACGACGACGACGACGACGACGACGATCTGGATGACGGTGAAGCGAGCTCCGAGGCCGTCAAGTTGATCGACGATGTCGTGCCGAATCTCTCGGGCTTTCATCAGCACATTCTCAAGTTGAACCCCATGCTGGCACAGACCAACGGCTACTTGGTCGACCGCATAGCCCATCAACAGGTGGTTCGATTCAAGAGCTTGTGCAATGCGAAGATCAAGCATGCCGGCTCCGTTCAAACTCAAAGGTGCCCGGCCGGTCGAAATCTATGCATCGCCCTTGGCGGCTCTGCGGTTCTGCTCGAAAGCAAAAGCGACAGTCGAGGACTGGACCCGCTGTCGGCTAGACCGCAGGGGTCCGACGACGACGTCTCGACGCCGCTCGAGGGGGCTATCGGACCCGAAAGTTTCCCACAGGATATCCCCATGCCGCCCACTCAGTCTCTGCCGGCCGAGTTCGAATGCCAACTGTGTTTTACGCCCAAGAAGTTCCAGAAGCCGTCCGATTGGACCAAGCACGTCCACGAGGATGTGCAGCCTTTCACCTGCACTTGGGATAGATGCCGCGACCCCAAAATATTCAAGCGCAAGGCGGACTGGGTCCGGCACGAGAACGAGGGGCACCGCCACCTCGAGTGGTGGACATGCGACGTTGACGACTGCCGCCATACTTGCTACCGCAGGGACAACTTCCTGCAGCACCTGGTCCGGGAGCACAAGTTTTCGGAGCCAAAGGTGAAGACGAAGGCGGCCATCAAGCGGACGGGCGCGCTCGATCCGACGTGGCAGAGGGTAGAGCGTTGCCACGTGGAGACGAGGGACTCACCCCAAAACGAGCCTTGCCGCTTCTGTGGCAAGACCTTCCCCACCTGGAAGAAGTTGACGGTCCATCTGGCCAAGCATATGGAGCAAATCAGTCTCCCGCTCCTCCGGCTCGTTGCCCGGAAGCAGCTCGACGCTGATACCATCATCAGCCCTATCCAGGATCCGCCCCAGCGCTTCTTTGAAGCGTTGTCCGCCAAGGATGAGCCGCCCTCGCTGTCTTTTGGTCATTCCTCGGGAGTCTTCCAGCCGCAGACCTCGCAGCCCCCAATAGGACCTATGCAGTTCCCGGCTCACCAGGGAGACTTTGGCTTCCCCGTCGGTGCGCCCGGTGGTTCTGCGTTCCAGACCCAGCACCAACGCCCGGCTTCGTTTGGGGGGTTCGTCGGTGGCATCCAGGACATGGGCATGTCGCAAGTCGGCACCACTTCCTTCCAGCCCACGCCATCCTATTTCAATCTTCCTGTCACCACAGGGCCGTTCGGCTCGGTCCAGCAGTCGTACATGCCCGTCACCAACGAGCTCGAGCCGTTTCCGCATCTGTCCATGGTTACGCCAATAGACGCCATGAGCATGCCGGCGCCGGCGCCCTCGCCGATGCAGTACAGCCACATGATGGATCCAGCCAGCGCGGGCGGTGGGCACTTCACACCCCAGGGTTCCGCCTCGCCCTACGCCCGGTCTCCTCATCAGCAACCCGGGCACAGCTTCTATTAGCCGTCTCTACCGTTTCGATTGGCGACGCCTCTTTTTTTTTTCTCGTCCCGCAGCTTTTCTGCGCCACCCATGTTTTCCTCTCTCTCGTCATTGGCGACCAGGTGATTTTGATTCCACTCTCTTTCCCGATCTTCTTGGCCATGTTGGACGCCATTATGAACCGACCATGCAACGGACTAACATCGAAGTTCAGATACCCCTTGTCTTTTTTATGTCTTCTTCTTTTCTTTATTTCCTTCTCTCTGTTTATCTTCTCTCTGTTTATCTTCTCTCTGTTTATCTTCTCTCTGTTTATCTTCTCTCTTTTGGTTCAGTGCTCGAATGATTGAATACGCCCATCTTCTGGTCTCTCTTTGCTTGAATAATGCGTTTTATGGACAAACACGAGTTGATGATACATGTGGAGGACCACACCGCCCGGGGTTTGGTTGGTGATTTTTTGACTGGCAACTTTTGCTGAGCTTTCCCTCCCTGTTTATAGTCGCCCCGAGCTGGCCCTTCTTTAGGGTGTTTCCGGAGTATTATAGTACCAAAGATTATTGAGAGTGTGAGACATTGTCTCGATTGTTTCTGTTCTTCTTTGCATTGTGTGGAATGATCAGCAGCTACAATCTAGCCCAATCTTGTACCCCGGGATATACTAGACCCATTCCTTTGCAAAGGTGCACCGATGGGAATAACACAAGGTAGAACAATTCAATTCGGATTGTGAGCCCATGACGGACGGTGTCTGGAACCAAACGGGTCTGGCAGGGGCAGGAACGCCAATCCTAATTTCCGTCCACCAAGGAACACACCAAGGAACAAGAAAGAAAAAACAGCCTGGTGCGCATTCAATCCGGGGCACGTCTGTTAGAAGTTGGAGGCCGCCCTGCGCATCAGCCGCAGCCCAACGTGCCGTCAAGGTGCGACGCACCGGAAACTGCACTTGGATCCGAGATTCGACGAGGTTGGTATCCCTTGGGAGCCGGTGCATTGGTGATAGCATTGACGCTCGGACGGGCTGCCTGTGCGGGCTTCTGCTGATCTGCACCAGGGTTGGTTTTTCCTTTTCATTCTTTATTTTTCCCGCACTGGGGCATCCATCTCTAAGCGGTGCGAGGGTGGATGGATGGCTAACTGGGTGGTCGGCTGATAAGATTTTGGACGGCCCGCCCAAGATGCGACCTGGACCTGGACCGTCATTCTAGGCCAAACAAATGCGGTTGAAAAAAGAACGAATGGGACGAGGGAGAACGACTCGCTCTGACGACATGTACTATAAAATAAAAATACCGCTCTCGTGCAGCTGACTGATGTGATAAGCAGCAGGCCGTCCTTTTGACTGGCCGTTGTCGCGCGGTTCTGAAGATGGTGGGGACTTGAGGGAAGGGGAAGGACGCTTGCTGGCGCCTCCCTGGCAAGCAGAGGGACCTCTCCATCCAATCGAATGCCGGCCACACAGCGGCAGCAGCAGTGAGGGGGCGGAACCTCGGGCCAAGCTACACGGAGAAAGGTGGACATTTAGCCCCCTGGTTTCAGAAGGGCCCCCTGCTGACTCCAGCCGGGCCAGCCGCGACCGCCTTGATTTGCTGGTGGGCACCGGGTGGGGCCGTCGATTCCCAAGCGACTGGGCACCTGCCTCTCTGCTTGTCTTTGTTTTTTTCAATGGCCTTTAGTGCCACGTCGCCCAAATAAAAAGCGATACACCAAATGATCAGAATGTGGGGAACTTGCCCCAAGCACTTTCGCAGCGAAAACATCGGTGCAAAACACAACTTCGAAAAATACCCAATACACAGCTAAATAAATAAAATAAAATAATACAAACAATGGCGGCATTTATTTACATATTAAGTTACGTTTCATTTTTTTCTTTTCGGAGATCGAATAAGTTGAGAAGGAATGAATCGCTCGATAAGGTCACTTTTTTGGTGTATCGCTTTTTATTTGGGTGACGTGGGTGCTCCAACGACGCCTTCGCTCCGGAACGCCAGTTGAGGTACCCCTCCCTGATCCCTGCATCAGATGCCAGCCCATGCCATGCCAATGGCGCTTACAGGGGGTCCCTGACAGGGAGCAGGGGTGCGGCGGGCCTTTCCCCCCATTCACCTCAATGGCTGGCTGAGGCTCTTTGATCGGCAGCAACGCCGGAATCTGGGTGGTTCCCCCCCCTTTTTTTTTGTTGCTGCCGAAGGGAAGCACCAGGGGGCGTGGCCGTCGAAACACCAGACAGCACCGTGCAGGGCGCGCAAGAGATGGCAAAAGTGGGAAAGGGCAGAGGCTGGCCCGACTGGAGGTCCCTTGCCCGCGTTGTTTCTGATGCTGACGCCGGCGGTGCCTACTGGTGAATGGACCTCCACCTGGTCGTCGTCAACCAGCCTCCAGTCGTTTCATCAGCCCGCGACGCACACTTCGGCCGCCAGCGAGACGCTGCTTGCCCTCCTCTACACCCTCTCCTTCTGATGTCCTTGGGTCTCCTTCCCACTTCTTTCGTCCGCAACCCCACCGGCCAATACCACTCTCGCTACGACCTCTTTCGGTCTGCTCCCTCCCTCTCTGGCTCAACTCTCCTTTCCCTCGTTTTGTCCTCCCTCATCGACGGGCAATATCGACCCTCGGTATTGCGACATCCAAACCTTCCCAGATTTGCTCTCTTTGTGGGCGTCTTGGTTGACGGGCTCAGTGTTCACGGGGGCAGGCCTGCCCTTTCGTTTCTTTCTTTCCAGGTTGATCCTCGGCCATTTTTTGTTTCTCTTCTTGCAACAACTGGCGTTGTTTGCTCCTTCTTTACCACCTATTCCCTTTGGATCATTGTTTCTTTTTGGCTTGATACCCGAGTCCGTCCTTTGTCGCCCTCGACAACGCCCAACGACTGCAGGTCTTTGGTTAGATTGTGATACCAGCTCTCCCTCGCTTCCTCGATATACCGATCGGATCGATTCCAACCTCGAACAACACACTGCGTGTGACTTGATACATATCACGCTCCTTTGCCGAACCGAATCGCTACTACACCCAGCCTCACGACGAGTAGAAAGGCAACCCATAAAGAAATTCAGAAATAATAGAATCGAAAACGCTCGACCGACAGGCTTCAACGAAGCATCCGATAGCGAGATCCGCCCCCGCGATCATCATCCCCAGCTTTTGCAGTTGAGATTTGGAAATGCCGCGATGCGGTAGGATTCTGGGCCCTGGGTCCCGGCTGGTAGCCGTGGCCCTCGCTGCCATGGCCATGGTGCAGGGAGCTGCGGGAGCCGATATCCTGCAGACCATTGGATTCAGCAACTGCGGTGCCGACGCCAATATTCAGGTCCAGAAAGTCGACATCCAGTACAACAACGAGAAGAAGACGGTGTCGTTCGATGTCGCCGGCTCAAGTTCTCGCATTCAGAATGTTACCGCCATCCTGAACGTGACGGCATATGGCCAGCAGGTGTATTCCAACACCTTCAACCCTTGTGCTAGGGGCACATTCGTTTCCCAGCTGTGCCCAGGTATGCTTTTTTTCCTTCTTTTTTTC